TCCTTCATCACCATAGGCTCTTGCTCATATGTTATTTCTTTAAATTCCTCTGTATCTGCTAATTCCTTTCTATATAATGACTCAGTATATTCCTTCCATTAAATGATCTCTCATGTTATATAGCATTTTTTAAAAATCCTTACTCCCGAGTGCTGCGTAGTATTCCATTGTGTGAATGTGCCACAAGTTATCAATCCATTCACTTGTTGATGGACATTTGGGCTAGTTCCATGTTCTTTGCTATTGTGAATAATACTGCTATAAACATCAGTGTACAAATCTTCATTTATAACTCAGTTCTATTTTCCTTGGGATATATTCCTAGCAGTGGAATAGCAGGTTCATATGGAATGTCTATGGTCAGGGTTTTTAAGGAAATGTCAAACTGCCTTTCAAAGTGGTTGTACCATTTTATAATCCCACCCACAGTATATGTCAGTTCCAATCTCTTCACATCCTTTCCAACGTCTATTACTTGCTGTCCTGTTAAACTCTGCCACTGCTACTGGGCTGAGATGATATCTTATTGTAGTTTTATTTGCATTTCTCTTTTTGCCAGTGATTTGTTTAGCAATTCTTCATTTGTCTGTTGGCCATCCATATGTCTTTGGGCTATTCTTTTCTGCATACCTATTCAACAAATATGTAGGCTGAACAAATAATTCAAGAACCTAGACTATATGAAGAAGAATGTGGCATCAAGATTACAGGAAGACTCATCAACAATCTGTGTGATGTAGGTGACACAACCTTGTTTGCAGAAGGTGACAAAGAAGACTTGAAGCACTTATTGCAAAAGATAAAAGACTATATAACTTTCATTATGGGTTACATCTCAATATCAAGAAAACCAAAGTCTTCACTACTGGGCCAATAGGCAACATTATGATAGATGGAGAAAAGGTTGAAGTTGTCAACTATTTCATTTAACTTGGATCCATAATCAACACCCATGGTAGCAGCAGTGAAGAATCAAAAGACACGTTTTGCATTGGGGAAATCTGCTGTCAAGGAGCTTTCCAAAACTCTCAGGAGCAAGGATGTCAGTTTAATGACCAGATTTCCAGCCATGGTATTTTCAGTTGCTTCCTATGCCTCTGAAAATTGGACAATGAGTAAAGAAGATCAAAGAAGCATTCATCTTCTTTGATGCCTTTGAATGTGGCGTTGGTAAAGAGTATTGACTATCCCATGGACTTCCAGAATAAATCCATCTCTCTTGGGGGAAGTGCAGCCAGAGTGCTCCTAAGATCAGGGGTGGTGAAACTTCATCTCATGTACTCTGGGCATGCTGTCAGAAGGAACCAGGACTGGAAGGAAGACAGCAGACTTGGAAGAGTAGAGAGCCAGAGAAAGTAAGGAAGGACTTCAACAAGATGCACTGGCATAATAACTGAAACAGCGGGCTAGAGCATCCGGAGATCACGAAGATGGTGCCAGACATGGCAAGTTTCAGATCTTGCGTTCATAAGGTCTCCATGAGTCGTAATTACCTGGATGGTACATAACTACCACCACCACCACCATTATATCCAGAGACGAACCCCATAATTCAACGCTTTCCTGCCAGGTGTGCCACAGTCCAAGGTACACTCTCACCTTCCCAATCCCTCCACACAGTGCCTGCTGTGAATAAGCAAAAATCAACCTCTGTTTTGGCCTGTGGACGTTTTATATCTTTGATTGCAGTACTGTTACAGATTCCCTTTAATATTGAGTAGTGTTTTTCTGGGGTAATGTCTGCTGACTTTTGGTGTCACTGTCCAGTGCTCCTTACACCGCATCTTGCCTGGAGTCTCCAGTGGTGCCTCATATACCTCCACACATTCATCTCTCTGTGTTCTGAGAATCTGTGTTTGACCTGTCTCCTCCTCTTCTCTGTGTGAGGTAGGGCTCCTGTATAATTCATCTTTGTATGGAAGACTAAGTTGACCTCAACAAGTACATATGGGATTTTACCAGCCTAACATCTGTGTAGCAGACACTCCAAGTGTCCTAAGCTAATTACAGCAACCAGAATGGTATTTGACACACAAAAAGTGCTCAATAAATGTCTGCCTATTCTGTTACAGCACCTGGAGCTTTCCATATACATTAAGACTCAAAACAAGACTCAAGTGCCATCAAGTCAGAACCAAATCATAGCTGACCCTCCAACAGAGTTTTGGAGGCTGTAAATTGCACAGGAGAGGATTGCTTGGACTTCTTCAGCGGAGTCACGCCACTGTCTTTGGGCTAGCAGCGCACCCCCATCAGAACCCGCTTACATTGTTTCTCTCTTCCTCCCTTTCCTCATTCCATTACTTCTTCTCAATGAACGAGACCACTGGGAAATGCCAAAGGAAGTGCCTGCCCCTTGCCTTCTCTAAGTGAAGAGCAAAGTTAAGTCATCACTTGATTAAAAAGGCAGTGCCCTGGGTTGAGTTTTTATATGTTTTCATTGCTCACAATACCAGTTATCATTAGCAGCAATTAAAACCACTTGAGGATCAGTTCAAAGCTGCCTTTGAGCTATTTTAGGTTGGACAAGTCCTTTATCTAGCTCAAAGCCAGGTTTCCTGATGTCACCAAAGCCCATTTGTATTTGGAAGTTACCCAATCTGTGTATTTTGATTGCCTGGACATTTCATATTGTGGGGGTTAAGAACTTGTCTTACAAGTACCACTCCCAGCATCCATTAGGCAAAGAGGACAGTGAAGACAGGAGGGGAAGGGGGTGTCTATCCCTCCTGCCAAGAATTCCTGGAGCCTCTGTGATCCCAAGGGTGGGCAGAGGAAAAGTAAGAGCTTGTCCTAGGGTGTGGGCGCCATGAATCAAGAAGGTGGAAACCAATTTTGAATGCTGGGCTGTGGGGAAGGACTGTGAAAAGTAATCTTCATGTTTGATTGAAAGATAAAAAGCAGGAAAGAACCTGTTTTGGACTTCTGGAGAGTTAGTCAACAGCCTGTCACATTTATTTCTTGATTCTGGACCAGACTCTGGGCCTGGAGGACTCACAAGTGCATTGGAACATGGAGACCACTGCTCCCAGATTACTGCCTGCTAGTGGGTGGCTTCTTGTGGGCTGAGAGAGATGGGATTTCCTGAGAATAATTCAAAAGCTGCATGGCTAGGCATGTAGAAGGACCGTTCAAGTGGGAAGAGGAAGTGTTAGAGTGACATGGACCTGGAGAGGACCCTGCAGGCACCAGTCTTCTCTCTGGTGGCAACATGGACCCGTTCACTGAGGGCAGGGGCAGGGATGATCATCTTGAGGAAGTCTGGAAGCGAAAAGAAGAAGATCAATCAGATAAGGGCAAGTTGTTCTACCCAAAGAGTTGTTAGCTAAGCCTGAAGGTCCATCCTGCTCAGAAATGGCGACTTTGGTAGTATGACGGATTATAGTTTTGAGAGTAAGGAATTGCCAATGCCTGAGCCACCCACACACCTCCTAGCTTTGACTGGAGCTACTCAGACTCACTTGGGCTCTGATCTGAATTGCTCACTAGATTTTTGTGGTACATTTACCTCTTTGCCCTCCTTTGCAGCTTGACATCCTGATGCCTTACCCCCACTGAAGCAGAACACTGGAAGCAGAATGGGGGCTATGGTCCAAGGAGTTAGCCACCATTCCTCCACAAACCTTCCTACCTACACAGAGCCGAACACGGAGACGTACTGTTGGTGACAACTGCCCAGGGATGGGACAAATGGGGAGTGCCCATGTCGGTGGCCCTGGTGCAGCGAGTGGGAGGGAACAGAAGGCAGAATGACCCACTTCAGAACCAACTAACTCCTCTCACAGTAGCGTGCCCATGACTGGGGACTGCTTTAAATGGGTCAGCCTTCATATGTGCATCGGTCTTAAATTCATCAAAACTTGGCTGTTAAGCATCTCTGTCTTGTTTTCATTAGCTTGTAAGCCATGATGATGGGAACCTGCCTAGTTTTCTGAACCAGCAAGTGTGTCCAGAGGCTAATAAACAGCAGGTGCGTCCAATAAATGTGATTTTAATACTCAGTATGCAAATAATATATAGAACAAAAGGCATGTGCATTACACAAGTTCTCGGCGGTTTTGAACTGAGAACTGTGGTGTAATTGTCGGCACATAGAGTGTTTCCTGTGTGTAGGATATACGTGTGCACTGGGTAGATATGCAGTTTGAGGTGAGGGTTGAGTATGCATGTGAGTGTGCGTGTGATGTGTGTGTGCATGTACAATGGATGTGTGTGTATGCACGTGTGACTGTTTTAAGAGAAGGCTCTACTAGAGTGGTTACAGACAAAGCCAGTAACAATACTGTAAACACATTGTTCAAAAATTATTAAGAGTACCTACAACCAGGAGAGGATAAAATAGATGAATGGGATCTTCTAAGAATCAAATCCCTGTGCACATCCAAAAACTTCTCCAACAGGGTAAAAAGGGAAGCCACAGATTGGGAAAAAATAATTGGCAATGACATGTCAGACAAGGGACATATATCTAGAATTTATAAAATACCCGAGTACCACAACAAGATAAACAACCCAACTGAAAAATGGGCACAGGGTATGAACAGACACTTCACCAAAGAAGACACTCAGATGGCCAACAAACACATGTGTTCAAAATCCCTAGCTCTAAGAGAGATGCAAATCAAAATAACTATGAGATATCATCTCACCCCAATAAGAATAGCAAAATTCAACAGAGCAGCAAACAACAAATGCTGGTGAGGTTGTGGAGAAACTGGAACCCTTATTCACTGTTGATGGGAGTGTAAAATGGTGCAACCACTGTGGAAGGCGGTATGATGCTTTCTCAGAAAATTGCAAATAGAGATACCATTTGACCCAGCAATTCCACTGCTAGGAATATACCCTAAAGGCACAAGAACTGCGACCCAAGGAGATATATGCACACCCATGTTTATTGTGGCTTTGTTCACAATAGCATAAAGCTGGAAACAACTGCCCATCAACAAATGAATGTCTAGAGAAGTTTTGGTATATCCACACAATGGTATACTATGCTACACTGAAAAACAAGGAACTCATGAAATATACAAAATGGGTGACCCTAGAGGACATTATGCTGAGTGAAGTATCTCAGTTACAAAAGACCAAATATTGCATAGGGCCACTGTTGTAAAACGGGACTAACATTGGGATTGGAGGGGAAACTAAGAAAAGAGGTAATAGGGGAGCTCTGGTGGCCTAGTGGAAAGAAGCTGCACTGCAATCCCCAAGGAACACGGTTTGAATCCACCAGATGCTTTGCCGGAGAAGGAGGCGCAATATCCTCCTGTACCAGTCAGATCTGATTTGACAGTGCACACACACAAAATAATAAAAAAAACCGAGGGGATAAATAATGTATACTGCATAAAACTGATGGAGAGAATTGTTTAAAAGGACTATATGATTAGGTATTATTTTCATGACAGGATTCCAGAAAAAGAAATACATAGTAATGTGAACTCTGGACTTGGGAGGGCAGGTGATTGTGTAACAATGAAAGAATTTTTTTTTCTTTTCAAAGAGAAAAGCGAACTGAGGGGGGGGGGTGGGCAGGGAGAAAAATGTGCAGCAATGAATGAACGAGAAAAACATTAAATGGGAAGAATATGCTGTAAAAAAAGAAATTTTAAAAAAAATATTATTAAGAGTTCATGGTAACCACGGCAAAGCATCAAACCAAGTTCAAAGACTTTCTGAGCACACAGCTCTGTGCCATGGTCCCCACTCAGTCTTCCTTTGCTGCCTGGAATCTGTTCTCTTTCATTCAATTCCCTGGTGTGCACTTGACTTCAGGAATGCGGGGAGGCACTAGAGCTAGCCTGGAGAGGAGTTAGGTGAAGGTACAGCCGGCATAGATCCCTTAGCTGTGGTCTGTGCATTGCACAACTGATCTCAACCTTTCCTGATTCTTCTCTGGATGGGAGGCAACCGCAGACGCACCAAGGTCCACAGGGAAAGTCTCGGTACTCGGCTCAGAAGGGATCTCTTTGGAGCCTCTAGTTGCCGTCAGCCTCCTCACGCTTCATGGTGTTCCTCTCTCTGCTCCAAGTTCCCAGCTCCTCAGACATCACCAGGCAGCAGTGTCCAGAGCATGTATCTACAGAGCATGCTGGGGGCACCCCAACTGCCCATTGAGGGCTTCAGCTTTCAGGGGCTTTGTCTGTACTAGTTTCCATCACTGTTCTTGAGAGGAGAGTCAGCACAGAGGGACCAGGGAGCCAGCCAGGACAGGGCTGGCAGAACTCAAGGCCCAGAAACCTCCGTGAGGGAGTGTGGAGGGTGGGGAATCCTTCCTGTTTATTGTCCTGATTTGCCTTCTCTCAGTCTTACGTTAAGGTCAAATGCAGTACATCTGTTTCAGAGCACACTCAGAAGATGGTAATGGTAATAATGAGGGTGTTCCTGGCTCAATACCTATTGCCATTTGTCAATAATTAGCTGTGATTTCCTCGGCTCTGGGAGGAGGCAGAAGAATAACTGGTTTAGATCAGTGCACTATTAACATAGCAATTCCAAGGGGCCTGAGTGATGCTTTAGAGTTTCAGGGCTGGTCATCTTCCAAAAGGTAAGGGGACCTGGGAACTCACCTTTACCATGCACTTGATCCTAGCCCTACTTTGGCTTCTGACCTCTTCTATCTGTCATGGTGATTAAGTGACTCCTGTGTGCTCTGTCATAAAGATCTCAGATGGGACTAGTGGATAGGCATGTCCTGAAGGCCTTCCGGACTACAGCGACGCCCCCTTAGTCAAAGTATAAAGATAGTAGGAAGGGTCTGGGCAAGGTGGTCTTGGTCGCCTTAGTCAGAGAGGTGATGTGGTTCAGGTGGGCAGGGGGTAGAGGTTTCTGGGAACCCACTGATTGCATAGGGCCTCACTTGCCCAGAAAGGTGTTGACCAAGACCCCCAGGCAGAAGTGTGCTTATCAACTGACTTTTGAGGGACGTGAAAAAGGTCCGGGTTTATCATTTTCCAACGTCTGTGGTATAATTGCTTCCACCATGCCCCATTTAAAGTTATCAGCAGCTTAGCAACTGGCTTACAAAACCTCCTGAATCTTTAACAATCAGCTCTTACCTGTGCCTGTTGAGATGACTACCCCAGCCAACAATCAGCCCTCCGCTCTTTCGCTCTTCTCTTCAACAAAGCCCCTGCGTGCATTTGGGGTGGACAGAGAGCCATTTACATTCTCTGTGCGCTGAGCATTTGGCGGAAGGCCAGCTTGCTTGTCTCAGAGGTTAGCATGGTGCTTGCTGACGTGCTTGTCTTAGAGGTTAGCATGATGCTGACATGAAGGGCTGACAAGGGCTTTGCCTAACTGAACACTAAGCCCAACCAAGGCAAGAGCCATGGCCTAAGCGTCAAGGGGCCACTCACTCCTACACCTGCATTTGACAGCGATATTCACCAGCAGCATTTGAAAAAGCCAGTCTAGGATACATAGCCGCTCCATTTTTGCAGCTGCCTCACTTGGTCCACCAACCTCTCACTCTTTTCCACTTCCCATTTGGTCTGCTCTGGTGGGGCCTGGTTTGTTTGACCAGGTGTTTGAGGTGACAAACAAGGATTCCAGGAAGCCCCTGAGTCAGCTCTCGGGCAGTGGAACTACACTCATCCCAGGGCTGGGCGTCTGTCCGCAAACATCCACTGGCAGAAGGTCTTGCAGGAGACTGGGCCATTTCTGCATGCAGGCTTCTCATAATGTGATTTTCTCAAGGATCCACCTGCCCCATAACTCCATTTCCCCCTTTTCTGGCTTCCTGGAATGCCACGATGGCCCCACCTTGGCCGGGCAGTTATGATGAGTGGCGTTGACCCAGCTGTTTCTCTGATAGCTCACTGCTTTGTGTGGTAGGGGCTGGATCCAGTTGGGATAAGAGGCAGGGGCAAAGACTGAGGGTCTTCTGGTGTAGGAAGGGGCCCTGGACTGTAGGGCAGGACCAGGACCAGGACACCTCTGGGATTTAGCCAGGTACTGGATGCCCCATGACACGGAGCTGGTAAGAGGGCGGCATTAAGCCAGGACACACGGGCCTATCACCACAGGTATGTCACATTCTTCCTCTTTTCCTGGCCTTAATCTCTCCTCCTTAGTGACAACGTATGGCCAGGGCCTGAGCCACAGTATCTCCGGAGTCTGCAGATCATCACAAATGCCAGGTCTGTATGAGGCCCAGGCTATGTATGGTTCACAGAAAGAGACAGACTGGTGAGCAAATCTTCACAGTTCAACCTGATGTGGGTCCAACATCCTGGAAAAAGAGTAGACCTCTCCATGAGAGGTGAGATTTAAATGGGGTCCCTCAATAGACCCAACAGGAAGGGCCACAGCCCAGACAAAGACATCAACCTTGGTAACGTAGAGGGTCAATGAAAGGGAGGAAGCCCTCAGCTAGATAGACTGGCACAGTGGCAGCCACAATCGGCTGCGCACAGCAGAGGTTGTGAGCATGGATCAGGATCAGGCAGTGCTTTTTCAGTTGTATGGAGAGGTCACTATGAGTCAGAGCCAGATCTACAGCGCCTCATAACAATAGCAACAGCCCTGATGTTCCCGTGCAGGACTCTGACCCCAAGCTTCACAGCTCTGCTTTTGGGGCCTTTGCAGGGTGCCCCAGGGCCACCAGCAATTCCACTAGGGGAAGGGCTACACTTGACCTCCCCCAGTCAGAGCTTTCCAGGCCTCCTGTGCTGGCAGTTCTGCCATGGAGATAGTCTTCTTTAGAACTAGAAGGGAGTGAAATTCCCCTTCCCACATAGAAAGAAAAAAGGTGAGGGCTAGAAGAGGGTCTGAAACACCCAGGTCACTAACCAGACCAAATCCACTGCCACTGAGTTGATTCCTACTCACAGAGATTTCTGGAATGCAGTAGAGACCAGAAAGGGAGGAGATCAACCTGTGTGGCCCTAAGAGGGGCCCAGAACTGGAGCTGGATCCAGATCCTCAGTGGGCCAGCAATTGCCCCACTCTAGGTCTAAGCCCATGTCAGGGCCTTAGTGAGAACCCAAAAGCTGGGATTCAGTGCTGACTCTGCATTAAGAGTGATCAATGATTGAAAATTCCTATAGCAATTAAGGTATTGGAAAGTGTGTGTGTGTCCCTTGGTCATTTAACAAATGATTCTACACATTCTCAACTTGGGGCTCCCTTTGTTAGCTCTGTTTCCAAGGAATCTCATGTTGTTGTTATATGCCATCGGAACTGACTCATAGCTGACCTCTAGTAGGTTTTCAGAGGCTGTAAAATAGCACAAGAGGGGATTGCCCGTCTTTTCCCCCCACAGAGGAGCTTGGGTTGGCAGCACAACTCCTTACCACTGGGTAATAGGATCTGCTATCTGGGTTCGTGTCTGGCACGTAGTAAGAGCCCAAGCGATATATACCCATTTCCTCTAACTTCTCCCAAGTGGTCACTTGGAGACGAGGCCAAGGGGGTGTACCCATTCTGTCGCTGTCTCCCTGTTCCTTCTTTGACCAAGGATGTCATAACATCCTTGGCATCCTCATGAACACCAGTTGGCAAGGGGACCCTGGTAGCCCACTCTGTCCGGGGCAGGCTTTTCTGGCAACGTGGGCTGGCTTGTGCGAGTCTCTTGGATGGATACAGAGGGTGAGGCACTGATCTTGCTCGTTGAGCCGGATGCTGGCAAGAGGGAGGGTGAAGAGGGGGCGGGACTTAGAGAACAAAGGAGCCCTGGGGGCCCAGCCTAGGAATCAAAAAGGCTCTGCAGAGCGAGCTGGCCTCAGAAGTGCTTGCCTCTCACCCAGCAGTGCATCAGCCAGCCTTCTCTGGTCTCTTCTGCTTGCCCACAGCCGGGCAAGTAAGGAGCACTCTGCTTAGAAGGCCTCATTTTTCCAGCGTGATTACGCCGGCACTACTCTGTGGCTTTCTCTACTTCGTGTGGATTGCTGCTGCAATTCCAGAAAGGAGCAGAGGCATGGCTGGGACTAGTGCCAGGAGCCGGGGAAGCCACCGGGATCACGCCTTCGTCCCAGAGTCTTTTGATGGAACTAACATGGCCCCACATCTCTGGCTGCATCGCTTTGAGGTCATCAACGACCTCAACCATTGGGACCAGGTCACGATGCTGAGATTCCTGAAAGAATCCCTCAGGGGAAATGCCCTGGAGGTCTACAGAGGACTGGCTCCCGAGGACCAGGGAGACTTTGGGGTTGTGAAAGAGACCCTGCTGAAGACCTTTGGGAGCCCTGGGGCTGCCTGCAGCCACCTACCCAAAGAGATCGTCTTCGCGAACAGCATGGGTAAAGGCTACTACCTCAAGGGGAAGATTGGCAAAGTGCCCGTGAGGTTCCTGGTGGACTCTGGGGCCCAGGTTTCTGTGGTCCACCCAAGCTTGTGGGAAGAGGTCACTGATGGCGATCTGGACACCCTGCGGCCCTTCGAGAATGTGGTCAAAGTGGCCAATGGTGCTGAGATGAAGATCCTGGGTGTCTGGGACACAGTGGTGTCTCTGGGCAAGCTGAAGCTGAAGGCAGAGTTCCTCGTGGCTAACGCAAGTGCTGAAGAGGCCATCATCGGAACAGACGTGCTCCAGGACCATAATGCTGTCCTGGACTTTGAACATCGCACCTGTACCCTGAAAGGAAAGAAGTTCCGCCTTCTGCCTGTTGGAGGGTCCCTGGAAGATGAGTTTGACTTAGAGCTCATAGAGGAGGAATCTTCCCCACAGGAGGGGCAGTAGCTCTCTTTGTGAGGAGTCCCCTTTCTTACCCTCCAAACCTTACGGGGGGGGGGGGAGGAGATTCCTCGGGGCAGGGAGGCCTGGATCTTCAAAAGAGTCGCTGAGTTTTGTTAGCCCTTAGAATCAACCCTTTTCTCCAAATCTTTCTCTAAGGGTCCTAATCTACCTTGAGGGGGGAGACTCCCATTTTCAAAAGTACAGGTGAGGGCGAGTTGGCAGCCTATCTTTGGGGGAGAGAGTGCTCATGGTTGTGTAACTACTATTGGTGCAGACACTTGAAGGCTTGAAGAAGGTTTGAGGAGAAGGCTAGAAATAGTGGTCTTTGTTGGCATACTGGGGGACCTCTTTAGATTCCCTTAGATGGGGCTCAGTCACCTTCAGACCCACAACTTCGATCTCAGCGTGGCTGGGCATGGCTGCCAGGTCCCCAGCTTACAGGTGACGGCCACAAATGCTTTGGGACTCTTTTCCTGTTGAGTCTTCCTACTTGTGTGTCAGTATGTTTTCTTCTGTCATTTACTTTGGAACCCGCTGAATCTTGTGCCAAAAATTCAGTTGCTCAAATAAATAAATATTGACTAATAAGAAAAGCATGTGATGTTTTGATTGCAGACGAATGGAGTAGATGTGCAAGCGTTGGGAAAATGAATAAATGGGATGGAAAAGGCAAGTATCTTTGAGTGTTTTCTATGGCCTCAGTCTAGAGAGAGAAGATATACCTAGTGACTATAAATATTGAATTTTCTAAGTCAGCCTCATAAAGTAATTTTAACTTATTTCCTCTGTAATTCCTCTCCTTATTTGTAACCTAACCACACGTCTTGTAATTATGTTGAATTAAAGTATTTTAGCATCCAAATGGCCCCTCCTACTCAAAAGTGACCCTACAGTTATTTTGAGAGGTGTCTAGTTTGGAAGGAGGTGGTAATCTCAAGGTGTCTAGACTAGACTGGTAGTGTGTAACATGTCAGGCTCCTCAGTAAAATTTCAGTTGTTTGAATCCAGCAGCCATGTCTTCCAGGAAAGGGTTTCTTTATCAGGACCTAAAGGACCAACCCTTGGAGAAGGACATCATGCTCAGAAGGGTGGAGGGAAGGAAGAAGCCAAATGACATGGACTGACATAGTGACTGGGATAAGGGGAGTAGAAGTGTCGGAGACCGTGAGATTGGCTCAGGATTTGGTGGGGTTTAGAGCTGTTGTGTCAATGACCCATAACAATAACAACAATGTACAAATAAAGAACCCTGGCAGTGCAGTGCATTACATACTGCACTGTTAATCTAAAGGTCAACAGTTCAAATCCATCCAAGGGAGAAAGATGAGCAGTCTCTTCTTGTACAGATTCACAGCCTCAGAAACCCCATGGAGAGACATTAAGAATTTGCATCAATTTAATGGCAGTGGGCTGAGTTTGGTTCTTTTCTAGACTGAAGACTGAAAATTTATGGTTGATATAAGCAAGCAGTAAAGCATGTACCTGATACTTTGAGGCAGCAAAGAGATTAATTCTCATAGCTGGGAGCTAGAATTCAGGACAGAAAGTACCATCAGAAGGCCAGAACTAACCTGCGCAGTCCAGGAGGATACTGGATGATAGAGAAGGGCTGTGGGGGCTCCACAAGTTGGGGGTGGGTAGCTTCTCCCTGCAACAACTTCATGTTGGTGGGCTGAGAAGTACATGCCCAGATCCGGGACTGGGGACTCTTTTATACCTCACACTTTATTCCAAGTTGCTACCTCTCCTTCTGAGCCTCAGCAGGGTTGGGAATCTGAAAGCCTCTAACCCAATGGGAGAAACAGAAATCTTTACAAAGGAACTTTATCCTTAGTCTCTCCAAGTCCATCTGGGGAGCTGGTTTTCAGGAGCGAGTGACCATTCCCTCTGAGCCACCAGAGGCACTGAAGGCCGAAGACTTGGCCCTGTGGAGACTCCATGACTCATGGCAAGACTGAAGAGAAAAGAGTGAGACTCTTGCTGGGAGGAGATTGAAAGGATTATTTTTCTATGACAGGATAGAATGAGCCTCTCTTTTCCCTCATCTACCTCAGAGGGGACCCAGAATGCAGGGCTCGTTTCCTAATTTAAGACATGATTGTTAGAACTTGCCTTTGGACTCCTTCAAACTGTCTAAATCTCTCCTGGCCCATCCCACCCTGATTCTATCTACCATTCTCCTTGGGAATGATGTTTCACATTCAGTAGCTAATCCCCATGGTTTACTGAAGACTGGTCCCTGAGAAGACAAACAAATTAGCTGGAATTAGCTTGTCAGCCCCAGGGCATGTGAGGCACAAAGCACTGGTATCCCGGGAAGTGTTTTCCCAGGAGAACAGGCGTGGAGAAATGGGTTAAGAGAAGATGGTACCCCTGCCTCTCAGGTCTTGCATCTTCTTTCACCAATTTATTTTCCACCTCCTACAGCTTAACAAATGCTGTTCCCTTCTAGGCCAGACCTGCTCTGGACAGAACACCCCAGGTGGCATTTCCCTGTGACCGCTTCTAGGTCCTTCAAGTACTTGCTGGGAGGAATATGGGAGTGTGAGAAATGGATGGGGGACCTGAAAGGGGATAGGAGGTTGGAGGTCAGGCCAGAATTTCAGGATGACACCTGCACTGCCTCTTTCCTGTTCCCCCCACCCCCTGCACACTGCAGGGAACTGACTCTTGACCTGGCAAAGCTGAATGAATAATCTGTTCCAGAATCACACAGCCTTTCCTCGTGTCCTGGTCTAAGGAGAAGCAGGTCTGAGCCAGTGGGTCCCACTTTCAGCTCCACTGGCTTTCCTGCTCTCTCCTGGGGCAAAGTGAGCACAGAGTGGACCTATCTAGAGCAACTTCTGCGCTGTCTGACCCAGAGGTCCCGAGTGCAACTTAAGACAGGTGCAATGTGGGTGTGAGAAAGATTGCAAAGCAAACGCATGGTGATGGGGCCTGGGCTGTAAGGTTGCAACTGGCTGCATGCTTGAAGCAGAGTATCAAAGAGGCAGCTGGGGAGAGGCCAGAAAAGCAGGTGGAGACCACATCACAGAGTGCTTGATCCCTGCGTGAGGAATTCTCACTTGACTTACCTGGCAGGTGTTTGAACAATAGAGGAGCAGGCTGATTTCCCTGAAACTGAGTCTATGGTAAAGCGAAGGAGCAACAACAGTTCAGCTCAGAAGTCATATTTAAAGAGGGTCTGAGTTCAAGTCGAAGTCCTGGTGGAACATGTCAAGCTGCTAACCAGATGGTCGGCCACTAGAGTCTCTGAGAGGTTCTGCCAAAAAAGGTTGACAGTCTCCTCCCATAAATATTTGCAGTCTTGGAAACCTTATAGGAGGTTGCTATGAATTGGACTCAGTTGGATGGCAGTGGGAGTTTGGGTTTGAATTCAAGCTGATAGGAAGGAGGAGACAAATGCAGGTGCCCATTAAATCTTGGTGTTACATTAGAGTCAGCTGAAAGACCAATTCAAGCCAGTTCTTCCATGAGTTTAAGGGTTTAGACTGCTTGCAAAATTCTCCATCAGTATATATTCCCTTGCAAACAGCACCCTCAAACCAGAAGAAAGGTATCTCCAGTACCAACCATCACCTGGGAGCTTGTGAGAAATATTTGTTAAAAATCTCTATGCCCACCCAGACCCACACTGAAAGCTGCGTTGAATCAGATCCCCGGGTACTTTGCATGCACATGAAGAATTAATAAATGTGAGTATAGAGCATTCCAGTGTCCAGTCAAGGATAATGCACGATCCCTATAGGATATCCCCTCTTGACCTTTACCTAATAAGGACCAACACATTTTAAACACCTACCGAATTGTCTAACTTATGCTAGATAGTCCTTGTGCGTTCCAGTAAACATTTCTTTTTAAACTTTTAAGATAATAAAACTTACAAATTTCAAGAGTAGAATAAAGAATTTTCATTTGTTTCACCACTTTCTCCAATTATTAATGTTTTACCGGTTAGTTTTATTCTTTCATTCTTCTCCCTGGATGTGTTGAGTAATTGTTTTTCTGATGGAGGTTGTTGTGGTTGGTTGGTAGGTGGCGTCAGGTCGACGACTCTTCACAGAGACCCTATGGACAAGTCTGAACCTTATCCTAACCTGCACCATCCTCTCAATCTCCTTCGTGCTAAAGCCCGTTGTTCTAGCCACTGTGTCAATCTCTCTCATTGAGAATTGTCCTCATTTTCAGTGACTCCCCACCTTTTCTGGCACAATATCTTTTCCCAGGGACCTCCTGATAAAATGCCCAAAATATGTGAAATGAAGTTGCACAAGTTTTTCCCTCTAAAGAGCACCCTGCTTGCACTTCATCCAGGAAAAAATTAGTTTGTTCTTTTGGCAGTCCATAGAATAGTTATTCAGTACTCTTCTCCAACATCACAATTCTAAGGCATCAATTTTTCTTTGGTCTATCTTTGTCATTGTTCAACCTTCAGATGCATACAAAGCAATTTTAAATACCATGGCTTCTTGGAGCAGATGCACCTTAGTCTTTAAACTGATATCATTGCTCTTTAGCACATTAAAGAGGTCTTTGGCAGCAGATTGTCCACTGTAACACACCTAGCCTGCTCCTTCCATGGATGTTGATTGTGAATCCAAAATAAAAGAAAAACTGCTAATTTCAATATTTTCTCCAACTATCATGATGTTGCCTGTTGATTCAGTGGCAAGGATTTTTGTTATCTTGCTGTTGCAATGTTATTCATATTGAAGGCTGTAGTATTTGATCTTCTGCAGTAAGTGCTTCAAGTTCTCTTCACTTTCTGGAAGCAACATTGTGTCACTGGCTTAACAGGTTGTTGATGAGCCTTCCTCCAATCTTACTGCCACATTTTTCTGCTTGTCGTCCAAGTTCTCAAATTATTTTCTCAGCATACAGAGTGAATAGGTGTAGAGAAAACCTACAACCCTGATAAACATCTTTCTTGATTTTAAATCATGCAGTTTCCCTTGATTTGTTTAGACAACAACTTCTTGGTCTATGTATAGGTTTCATATGAGCACAAGGAAGTG